GATGGACAACATGAATAATTAAAATGGAGGTTGAGTTCTCCTTTGCTACTGAAAAGAAATGGTTTGCACAAAAACAGAATGAGACAGGGCATCAGAGATGCTCCAGAAGGGTGGCTGTTATGTCTGTTGGCATTTCTGCTCTCTGGGAGGATTGTTCATGACAGGGATATTTAAATATTGGATTTAGAATGGCAACCTATCATAATTTTATTTGGAAACACTCTGCTGTGGATAACGCTAGAGAGGTGTGTTTGGCAAAGGTAGAAACTGCTAACAGGTAGCAGTTAACTAACGAATGGGGGTCTGCAGTGTGTGCACATGTGAATTACGCAGTGGAAAAGTATGTTATACAGAATATTATCTCAGTAGCAAAGACAAGCACTCAGAAATGAGAAAACTGAAAAATTAAGCTTAGCTTTGATTTTTAATGTAGTTGTGCCATTAAAGACTATCAAGTGCCATGTTTTCATGGCTTCCTTCTGTATTCAGTGCTAAGGATGGACGGTGCTCACTTGTTCAGTGTTCTGTTTTCTTCCACTGTTCAATCTTTTTTACTTATTTTTTGCACATTAAGCAAATCCTTTTTTGAAGAAGGGATTATTAATTTCCTCATGACACCAACCACCCCAGCATCATTATATTTTTGCAGACATTATTAAATTTATTTTCATAAACCACTCAGAGCTGAGGGACCTGTTATCACCCCTCTTTTAGAGATGCAGCCTTGAGGCACAGAGATTACAAAAATCTTATTTTGGGTGCTTAAATTGAGAGAGATTTCAGTGAACTTGACTTCTCAGAGTGCAGAGAATTATAAAACACACAAAGCATGACCACAACTTTATTTGCAGAGAGGGCTCAGCACATCTATAAATTGGATCCCTGGTGTCAGTCTCCAACAAACGAGGAACTGAAATTACTGGACAACTGTGAAATGTTAGGTTGAGAAAAACTTCATTAATATAATGTACGACTATGTCACTGGCAAGAATAGAGTCCAGTTCTCCAAAGCAGCATTCTTCTGCCTTAACTATTTGATCTTGTCACTTTCTGTAACCTTCACTTGGTACCCTGACATCCTTCAACGTCTGAAACACATAAAGCAAGTGTTCTGCAGGCAGCTCTCCTTCGCAGAAAACAAACCCAGTATATCCGCGAGTCACATAGTGACTCTAACATATTGAACAAGACAGGAATCCTGGGGAGAAAAAAAAGGAGAGCATGCAGTTATGCAATTAAAGTCCGTCTCCTAATGCATCAGTACAAGAGGACTGAATAAAGAGCAAATAAGCAGCGTCAGCTCTGGTTTGTCCTAACTTTTTGATTGCTCTCATACAATAATACTATTAATATCCCTTTCCTGTACTTTATACAAACTATACCTGTCTCTAACGGAAGGCAAAGAAATTCCATCACTGGTTACCACCCCAACGTGCCATCAGCGAGGTGATAACCTCCAGGCTCACTTCACAGACCCTGTGCTCCCAGCGAGGGAATGGCTGATCCCGGCTGCCTTCCGCAAAGGCTCGGGCGAGACGGGGGCATGGAGCTACGCTGGTGGGACACGGGGGTACTGGGCGCTCTGTACAGCAGTTTGGTAGATTGTGGTTGTTAGTCTAGATGAAAAGCTTGTTCATCTTCAGTGTATGGATATTCATCCACCCACTGAATGGTGTTCTTCATCCTATAAATAACTGGTGATATCACTTAAGAGTCAGAATGCCAAGGACCAAACCTCAGGACAGGAACCGTGCAGTGTTCTGATGGTGTGATCTCAAACATCCCATATTATTCCCACATGTAACCTAAATCAGGGCTACCCCAGCAGCTCGACCAGGATGGGTGTGGTGCTCAGCAGGACCCTGCAGCCTACATTTCTTTCACTTTGAAAGCGACCAGCAACTACCAGAGGGCCAAGATGTGGTGAAAATGATTGTAAAATGCATGTATGTCTGTTTTTGAACAAATACTTCAGAATTAGCATTAAAAATATATTTAGTTTTCACATTAATGCTGTCATTCTGGTTATGCATCGCTCATGGCTGAAGGGCAGGTCACCTGGCGGTTGTGCTCGGAGGCTGGGGCAGCACAACCCTCCGGTTCTCGCTTGTCTTTCCCCGGCCAGCGGCTGTGTGTTGGGACGAGGGACGTTCGTCCCTCCCCATCTC